CGTTTGTTCTAATCTCCGCACGGGAGCTCTTGGGAGCCGGCGCAGCCCCCGAGGGCTGCCCGCCCCCACACCCGTTTTCCCGGGCACGTGGGGCCCGCGCCCTGTGTGGTTTTTTTTTTTTTTTTAACTTTCCGCAAAAGGAGTAAAAGAAGTTAGAGCAGGATACAGCAACGAATTAGTACGACTCCTAAAGCCAGCTGTATTTCTAGCCGGAAAACGAAGCCTTTCGCCGCTCCCAAACCCCTCCGTCGCTCCCAGCAGATGGCACTTGGCTGCAGGGTGTGCAGTGACTCAGGAAACGTCGAAGCAGCCAAACTCTTAAGAAAACATTAGGAAAAATCTAGTAGAAAATCAACTTGAAGTGTGTATGTGTGGGAGTAACCTTTTCCCTTTTCGATGGAAGTGCCTCTGCTTCCAATGGTAGGTGCAGCTCTGGAGCTGGTTGGTAGCTCAGGATTTTGTCGAGGGACCCGGGAGAGTTATGTGGGCAGTTACACCGCATGTCTTGTTTGAATGGATGGTTTTAACACTGCCATCGGCTTGAATAAGACACGAGCAAGTGAAACCGGACATTATTTCACCTTAGAATGTGCACTTTGCAAAGGGCTGTGAGGGGGCAGGCAGACAAATTGCCTTTTTAATGTGGTTTTGATAGGCAGGTGGTGCTCACCAGCTCAGCTCTTAACACTTGGGGCTCTGCTCTTTAAAGAAAGGGAGGAGAAAGCAGGTCTGCCTTCATCTGGTTCCAGCTGTGGAGGCAACATTGTCCATCTGAGTGGCACCAAATCAGGGGCTGAGATGGAAGAGGAGAAGGTGGTGATGTGTGAAAACCACCTCAGAGGTCTGTTGCTCTTCTTCCCTTATGTTGAGTCCTGTCCCAAACTCGGGGTAACTCCTCTAGGCAAGAAACTGCTGCTTCGTTTGGGGCTTTCACTGCCTCCTGGCCTGCTGTAGGTTGAAATATCTCATTTTCTCTTCATACTTTGCAGGTACGCATCCACTCCATGGATGAGAAGGTGGCCAGCGATAGGCCTGCAGTAAGAGAGTCTAGTTACAGGTCTTGTGTGATGAGGAGTCCTTAGCTATGCTTTTTTTTTTCTGAGGGAACAACGTCTTTTGCCATCATGCGTTCAACAAACTTGTTTGTGCATTAAGAAGTGTATGTATGAAATTCAACAAGACCAAGTGCCGGGTCCTGCACTTGGACCACAACAACCCCCTGCAGTGTTACAGGCTTGGAGAAGTGTGGCTGGAACGCTGCACAGCAGAGAAGGAACTGGGGGTGCTGGTCGACAGCCGATTGAACATGAGCCAGCAGTGTGCCCAAGCAGCCAAGAACGCCGACGGAATCCTGGCATGTATCAAAAACAGTGTGGCCAGCAGGAGGAGGGAAGTGATTGTCCCCCTATACTCAGCACTGGTGAGGCCACACCTGGAGTACTGTGTCCAGTTTTGGGCCCCTCACTTCAAGAAGGACGTTGAGGTGCTGGAGCGGGTTCAGAGAAGGGCAACAAAACTAGTGAAGGGTTTAGAGAACTTGTCCTGTGAGGAGCGGCTGAGGGAGCTGGGACTGTTTAGTCTGGAGAAGAGGAGGCTCAGGGGGGACCTTATTGCTCTCTACAGTTACCTGAAAGGAAGTTGTAGGGAGATGGGGGTCGGTCTCTTCTACCATGTTATGAATGACAGGACGAGAGGGAATGGCCTCAAGTTGCGCCAGGGGAAATTTAGGTTAGATATCAGGAAAAATTTCTTTACAGAGAGGGTTGTGTGGTATTGGAACAGGCTGCCCAGGGAGGTGGTGGAGTCCCCATCCCTGGAGGTGTTTAAAAACCGAGTAGATTTGGTGTTGAGCAATATGATTTAGGGACCCTGACATTGCAGGGTGAATGTTTGGACTCGATGATCTTGAAGGTCTCTTCCAACCAGACGATTCTATGATTTTATGATTCTATGTTGCCTCGAGGGCTTTCTTTGGAGGACCTCCCATGTGCAAAGGCAGTTCATAACCTGCAGTTGGTAGTAGATAAGTGTGAAAGTCTTGACCATAAAATGAAGCTGTTGGCTATTGATTGCTGACACCAGTTGGGCCATGTAGGGTCCACAACGTGTTGACAGTCTGAGCCAAGTTTCAGACTGGGTGCCTGGATAAGTTATGTATATAAACCCCAGACTGATGGTAGAAATGCCATCGCTGAATGAACTGGAGATTTGGTGCCAAGTGTTATTTTAATACTGGTCTGGACATACATATATATGTATGTGTGTGTATGTGTGTGTGTACGTTGATGTATGTAAATATATGCGTGTGTGTGTATCTTTCTATATGTATATGCCTATAAGTACACAATTTTTTAGAGATGTCTTTGTAAGAGTGTTTTTAACTACAGGCTTCTGCATTTTAAGATTTTGGCCAATTTGGCAGTTTATGTGCAGAGTCAGCCAAAAGGCGATAGCAAAAAATTAGGGATTTCCTACCTCAGTTCTTGTGGTTAGCTCGCTACATGCTATTTTCTTTAGAAAACAAACATTTTGGATGGTGCTGTGAGTCTGACAGTGACGTTTCACTTTCTGGGTAAGACTGGGTGGAAGTTCCTGTGAACTGGAAAGCAGAGGTTGATTGCGTGCCAATCAGATAACAAATGGCCCTGAAAACGCCACACGATTATACACACCAGTCTTCCCGGTGTAACATTTTGTTAGGAAACACACAGCTGCGGATCCTGAATAAACACGCAACATAACGTGTGACTCCGAGCAGGGCTTGCGGGGACGAGGGTGGCAGGAGGAACCCCGAGCTCACTTCTTCTGTTATCAGGCCAACGCCAGCACCTCCCCGCTCCTTATCAGTGCTGGCAGAGCTGGCTCCTGCCGCACGGTTCCTCCATACATCCTTCCCATATGGTGCCATAGGGGCCGGCCCTACTGCCTCCCGTTTGCACGTAAAGCGAGTCTGTGACGCACGCCGTTACATATATGAACGGGGCAGGCAGTTGCGATAGGCACAGCACAGAGAGGCAATGCTGGACCTCATCATTCTGACCCTCCATTTCTTCGTCTGCCTCCTCATCTCCTTTGCCATCTGGCATGGACCTAAGGTACGGTGCGGCTCTCGGTGGCTCTGCACCCCCCTGCAGCAGTGTCCCCCTGGCCCACGGTCCCCCTTTGTACCTCGGCAGGTATAAAGACCTTTTTTAGCCTGATTTTTCAGAGGAAGTGAGGGTAGTATGGTTGTACTGGGAATTTGGAGGGAACTGGGACATAGTAGCTAATTTTAATAGGAAGGCTGGTTTTGTGATAAAACTTCTTATGTTCTCCACTGGGAGAGCCTATAAGGCATTTGAAATACCGAAGAGGAGGAAGGGAAAGGCAGAGGCATTTGCTAAAAAGCCCAGGTTGAATACAGCTGCTCAATAAACAATTCTTTTCCCTTTTCCAGATAATATTTTCAAGTTTTTACCAACTTATATCAGTTTGTATTTCTATCCATAATACTATTGAAAGAGTATTGGATTTATATGTGAATGCTACTGTTTACCCATTGTATAGCTAAATAATATAGCATTTTACATGTTGCATCCGTGTATTTTTTGCTTGTGGCTTTCCCAAGGATATGGTGTGGAGTAAATGAATAGTGATTTAGAATTTTATCTTGCCTCAGCTTCAGGTATCAGGTTTGCAACAGCTGGTTTTCCTGGTCCTGATCCTGTTACTGAACACATTGGCCAAACGTTATCACCAGACTCATGTGCTTTGCTACGTGTGCGCGTCGATAGTCTTTCACCAAACCTTCTGCTCCTTTCGCTTCATGTGTTAAATGGGTCAGGGTTTCCTCCGGGACCAAGACATCCATTCTACGTGTAGAAATTCAAACAAAAAAACTGTTTCATAAGGTGACTTTTTGAATTTTTTTTTGTGTTAAGGATGCGGATTTGCACAGCTCAAGCACAGGAACAGTTGAAACGGAGCCGGATGGTCTTATATTAATTGGCAAAGAAGGCGACATAAAGAAGTCCGGAAGAGTAACAGCCAGAGTCAATGGCAGAGAAGTTGTTGTTTTCTACCATGAAGGGAAATTTCATGCTATGGACTCTCGCTGCTACCGTAAGATATTTGCACGTATGATCTCAATGTTGCAACGATTAAGCATAAAATCTGCTGCATAAATTAATACTGTGTTCTGCCATGTTTCAGATGAAGGAGGCCCTTTACGACTTGGAGAAATAGAGGTATGTAAGCAAAACAAAAATACTGTAAAGGCATAGAGTAATTTAAAATCTCTAATGCATTTTTATGAATGCTTTTATCTGAACGTAACATTGAAAGAAATAGGTATATATGTAAAGTAGCATACAGCTGTACAGCCAAATCACCAGACATCTCGTTTGGCTTAGAGATTCTCCCAGGAGAAGAATCAGAAGCTAATGACTTGCATTTTTTTCTTCTTTTTCTTCGCAGGATATCAATGGTCAAGCATGTATTGTTTGTCCTTGGCATAAGTTTAAAATTACTTTGGAAACAGGAGAAGGATTATATGAAGGAATAAACCCTTTGGAGCCATCACCAACACCACAGTGGCAATCAAAAGGAGTCAAACAAAGGATTCATAAAGTCACAATAGTCAACGGAAATGTCTATTTGAGTCCTCCAGATTTGTCTGTAAGCTTTGACTCCGATTATTTTGCTGATAAGTACAAAAATGGTGGTGATTTAGCTATGGAAAAACAAAGCAACTCGGAAGCAGCAGAGCAAGTTGTGACCAGAAAGCAGAACCCTGGGGAATGCACCAACAAAGAACCACTGTCGTGAAATAAAAATGTACTGTGGCCATAAAAATTGTCTCCAGATTAAATTCTATTATTAACATTACGTTGAAGTATTGAAACACGTAGAATTGAGTAAGATAAGAAGCTCTGCATTGTCAGAAATGTGACTGCTCTTGTGCCAATGATTTTTTTTTTTTTTTTGCACTGGCATTTCAAGAAGACATTTACAGCAGAGTGCTTCATAATATTTGATATTTTAGAAATCCTACTTTGCTAGAATTGTTTTAATTTTTAGGAGTATGTAGAGTATTACTGCTTATAAAGCATTACACAGTTTAAGGTGAATAGTCAGATGTAAAGGTTATGTTAGTATACTTAACAGTTTATACTTATAATGCCTTTGATATAAAAGACATGGAAATTTTAAACTTTTTAGATATGTGAGCAATCTCTGGATTATTAAGTGCTACAAAGAGAAGTACAAAACTTGAGCATATTTTAGTGCATGCCTATTTCTGTATTACTACTGTGTTTCCACATAATTATTTATTTTCCTTCTCCTCATTGAACTCCTTTTGGTAGTTCATCAAACAATGTGACAAGCATTTGTGATGTGTAGCTTGTTCTTCCTGATTCTGTTGGGTAAGAAAGAAGCTGTTAGGTATAAAAACCTGATACATAACGTAGTGGCTCTTATTTGTTTGGTTTTATTTATTGTAAATATATTTGTATACATTCCTTTGAAAAATTATGCTTTCAGTTTAGAGCCAAAAGTTAGATTTCTCTATATGTGTTTACTATAAAATGTCAGGTTTGCCCCAATAACCCCCTCTTCATATAAGTGTATTTAAAAGTAGTGAAGCATAGGGAAGTATCAGAGGAAGACGTCGGTGCCTGATCGATCACAATGAAAAAAGCAAAGCACACGATCCATTTATTTCGCTGCATCCAAATTTAGATGTTCACCTCCGATCATGCCTCCTTACGTTGTTTTTGTGGTTGATAGGGAGAAGCGGCACCTTCAAGGTGCTGTTGAGCTGACCTCTTTCAGTTTTGTGTTTTAGAAGAACTGCAGCACAGAAATGCTTTTCTGCTTCACTTTCTCCTCCTCCTCTTCCTCTCGCTGACCACTCAGCCAGTGAGTGCCAACAAGATCGGATGCCAATCGCTGCCTTTGGTCGGATGAATGACATCTTGATCATCTGCTAGGAAATGATGTTATTTACTGATCAGTTCGAGGAGGGGGGTTTGGGGTTTTGGGGGGTTATTTTTGTGGTTTTTCAATTGGTTGGTTGGGGGGGGGGGGTTTTGGGGGGTGTTTTTTTTTTTTTAAGGAATACATAAACTTCTGTTCTTGCAGCCACAGGGTAGAAAGCAGGAAGATAAGGTGGGGGGAGGTCCCAGAACCTGTGTCCTTTTGGGAGGTGCAGAGGGAGATGGAAAATTGCTTCTCTTCCCTCCCTCCTCACCCAACTACCTGCACCCGCCATGAAACTTATGCATCAATGTCTTCTCCTGTTCAAAGACATGGATCACATAAACAAAAAGTATTGTAAGACCTTCACATGCACCTGCATTGATTGCTTAGGTAGTATTTTTAGCTCTGGAAATGGAAGGCCCAGTGACGGATGAGGTGGCTGACGGTCCATCTGCACTGGAGGTGTCACCAGGGGCAGAGATGACAACCTCCAGTATCAGGACCTCCTCCACAGGGAAGAAAAGAAGGGTAGTAGTTATAGGTGACTCCCATCTGAGGGGGACAGAAGGTCCCATATGCCGGGCTGACCCTGCTCTGAGGGAAGTCTGCTGCCTCCCTGGAGCCGGGGTTATAGATGTTGCTAGGAAACTTCCCAGCCTCGTACAGCCCATGAATCATAGAATCATAGAATCATAGAATGGTTAGGGTTGGAAGGGACCTTAAAGATCATCTAGTTCCAACCCTCCTGCCATGGGCAGAGAAACCCTCCACTACACCAGGTTGCCCAAAGCCTCATCCACCCTGGCCTTGAACACTTCCAGGGATGGGGCATCCACAACTTCTCTGGGCAACCTGTTCCACTGCCTCACCACTCTCAGTGAAAAATTTCTTTCTTGTATCTAACCTAAATCTGCCCTCTTTCAGTTTAAAGCCATTGCCCCTTGTCCTATCACTACACGCCCTTGTATCGGTTATTGCTTTTCGCTCTGAGGGGTGACGAAGCTGAAACACGGAGTCCAAAGTCGATCAAGAGAGACTTCAGGGCCCAAGGAAAGCTGGTAAGGGGATCTGGGGCACAGGTTGTCTTTTCCTCTATCCTTCCAGTTGCAAGCAGTGATGCTGGAAGAAGCAAATGCATCTAGTCAATTAATATGTGGCTCCGTGGTGGTGTCATCGCCACAATTTCAGCTTTTTCGACAATGGAATGGGCCACACAGCACCAGACCTACTGGCACCAGATGGGACTTGCCTTTCTCAGAGGGGAACGAGGGTCTTAGCACAACAGCTAGCAGGGCTCATTGACAGGGCTTTAAACTAGACTCAAAGAGGGAGCAGGGTAATATCAAGATTGATAAATATATGCTGGAAGCACCTGAAGAGCAGCAGAAAGGAATTCCAGCTGCTCCAGTCAGCAAGTCAGATTCATCTGGGCCCAACTGAAATGCCTCTATGCTAATGCACACAGCATGGGGAATAAGCAAGAGGAGTTAGAAGTGTGTGCGCACCTGTTGGAATACAATCTTATTGGCATCACAGAGACATGGTGCGATGAATCCTATGACTGGAGTGTCAGAATGGAAGGATACAGGCTCCTTAGGGAGGACAGGCAGGGGAAAAGAGGAGGAAGTGTCACCCTCTATGTCAAAGACCAGCTGGAGTGCAAGGAACTGTACCTGGGGATGGATGAGGAGCTTACTGAGAGCTTATGGGTCAGGATTAAAGGGAGGGAAGGGACAGGTGAAGTTACAGTGGGGGTCTGCTATAGGCCACTCAACCAGGAGGACCGAGTGGATGAGGCCCTCTACAGACATACAGGAGCAGCCTCATGTTCACAAGCCCTGGTCCTCATGGGAGACTTTGACCACCTGGTATCTGTTGGAGGGACAACACAGCAGGGCATAGGCAATCCAGGAGGTTCCTGGAATGCATGGATGATAACTTCCTTCTTCAAGTGACAGAGGAACCAATGAGGAGAGCTGCTTTGCTGGACCTTGTTCTCACCAACAAAGAAGGGCTGTTGAGGAACGTGACGCTCAAGGACAGTCTTGGCTGCAGTGACCATGAAATGGTGGAGTTCCAGATTTTTAAGGAAGCAAGGAGGGTGCACAGCAAGCTCACTGCCCTGGATTTCAGGAGAGCAGATTTCGGCCTCTTCAGGGATCTCCTCGCTAGAGTACAATGGGATGAAGCCCTGGAGGGAAAGGAGGCACAATAAAGCTGGATAATATTTAAGGATTACCACCTCCAAGCTCAGGAGCGGTGCATCCCAACAAAGAGAAAGTCAGGTAGGAGCACCAGGAGGCCTGCATGGATGAACAAGGAGCTCCTGGACCAATTCAGACACAAAAAGGAAGCCTACAGAGGGTGGAAGCAAGGACAGGTAGCCTGGGAAGAATACAGAGAAATTGTCCGAGCAACCAGAGATCAGGTTAGGAAAGCTAAAGCCCTGATAGAGTTAAATCTGGCCAGGGACATCAAGGGCAACAAGAAAAGCTTCTATAGATATGTCAGTGATAAAAAGAGATCTAGGGAAAATGTAAGCCCTCTCCAGAAGGAAACGGGGGACCTGGCTACCTGGGATATGGAGAAGGCTGAGGTTCTCAATGACTGCACAGCCCAAGTCACAGAAGGCAAAGACAGAAACTGGGAGAATGAAGAACCGCCCACTGTAGGAGAAGATCAGGTCCGAGACCATCTAAAGAACCTGAAGGTGGACAAGTCCATGGGACCTGATGAGGTGCATCCGCAGGTCCTGAGGGAGCTGGCAGATGAAGTTGCTAAGCTGCTATCCATCATATTTCGGAAGTCGTGGCAGTCTGGCGAGGTTCCCAATGACTGGAAAAGGGGAAACATAGCCCCCATCTTTAAAAAGGGGAAAAATGAAGACCCAGGGACCTACAGGCCAGTCAGGCTCACCTCTGTGCCTGGCAAGATCATGGAGCAGATCCTCCTGGCGACTATGCTAAGGCACATGGAAAGTAAGGAGGTGATTGGTGACAGCCAACATGGCTTCACTCGGGGCAAATTGTGCTCAACATGAGCTAGCACTGTGCACTGGCAGCCTAGAAAGCCAACTGTATCCTGGACTGCATCCAAAGCAGCATGGGCAGCAGGTCAAGACAGGGGATTCTGCCCCTCTACCCTGCCCTCAGGAGACACTCCCTGCTGTTCAGTTCAGTTCTGGAGTCCCCAACACAAGAAGGACATGGAACTGTTGGAGCGAGTCCAGAGGAGGCCATGAAGATGATGTGAGGGATGGAACACCTCTGCTATGGAGACAGGCTGAGAGAGTTGGGGTTGTTCAGCCCAAAGAAGAGAAGGCTCCTGGGAGACCTTTCAGCATCCTTCCAGTACCTAAAGTGGCTACAAGAAAGCTGAAGAGGGGCTTTGGACAAGGGCGTGTAGTGACAGGACAAGAGGCAATGGCTTTAACCTGAAAAAGTGGAGATTTAGATGAGATCTCAGGAGGAAATTCTTCACAGTGAGCACGGTGAGGCACTGGAGCAGGTTGCCCAGAGAAGTTGTGGATGCCCCATCCCTAGAAGTGTTCAAGGCCAGGTTGGATGGGGCTTTGAGCAACCTGGTGTAGTGGAGGGTGTCCCTGCCCATGGCAGGGGGGTTGGAACTAGTTGATCTTTGATGTCCTTTCCAACCCAAACCATTCTGTGATTCTATGATTTTTATTGTTGTTTTGGTTTTGGTTTTGGTTTTTTTTAAGTACTTCGTTAATAGAAATTGACTATTTTCATCAGTAAAGATGCAGTTCAGTTTAAGGAAGTAACAATTATGAGTAATATGCTATTGCCCGTATGACATTTAATGAAATGTTAGCAATAAGAAGTTTTACTGGAAAGTTT